TGTGTGTGTGTGTGTGTGTGTGTGTGTGTGTGTGTGTGTGTGTGTGTGTGTGTGTGTGTGTGTGTGTATGTATGGACGGATGTATGTATGTATGTATGTATGTATGTATGTATGTATGTATGTATGTATGTATGTATATATATATGTATATATATATAAGTGGTATATATGGCATACACCACTCCTATTGTAACATAATTGTAGAGGATAATTTAAGATATCTGTACAAGCAGTACTTCTGTCTACAACAGTCAGCGCTTCCGGGAAGAGACGCAGCACCACCCGGCTTTCAATTCGTTAAACAGCATAGCCCACCCATCCTTCCCTAGACCTCGGCAGTACTCCATAATAAAACGATACCAATACCTCTACTTACCAATCGCATCACAACAATGTAGTAGTCACCTTGAGCATCTCATACAGACGCCTCTCTCGTTCATCCCCACCCACTCTCGCAGGTGGTTACCTTTGACCTGGAACTGGGGCAGGCGGTGGAGTGTGTGTATCCTGACATTCTCAATGGTATGTGTTGTGTCCCACTCCATTGGGGACCCCCCACAGTGCGTTTCAGTTGAATCTCTCGATGGTGTGTGGGGTGTTGCGCCGAGGCCATTCGCCATGGCACAGCGGTTTTAGAGTTTTAAGGTTTTGTATTGTAGGGTTTAGGGTTTTAAGGTTGTTGCGTGTGCAGTGACATCTGCCTTCCGCGTTGGTGTGTTAGTAAGTATAGGTAAGGTGTCCTTAGGGTATGTGCTAGTGACTGTATTAGTGACTTTCAAGCGCTCTCGCTTCGTCGACTGTATCCTCTTCACAGACATGAACACTTGTCGGAGCTACTGTGCTGTCGGGTGCGTGGTGTACCTGACATATCCCAACACCTGAGAATACCACCACGTGGTGTTTGAATATCTGTGCATCGTCGTCATATGCATGACATGGTTTGTGTGTCACTTATCTGTCTCCTATACACTCTTATTTACATCTCAGATGAAGAGAAGAAAAGTATAGCCTTCCTGTCGTTCCCGGATTCGAATTCCGCGATAGGCGACACCATGTTCTGTTTCCGCACACCCACGATACCAACGCTGTCGGGCCGTCATCAGTTGGCTGCTGGTGCAGCAGTAAACCGAGGGGGAGGTAATACTTATGAATATGTCTGTTTCATTTGTATATACATATACATATATATATATATATATATATATATATAATATATATATATATATATAG